TTAGAAATGTTATAATATTTGGTTTCACAGTGGGGTCAGAAAAATACTTCCTATGGCATAATTGACTTGCATTTTAAAAGCTGAACCTTAATACCAAACTTAGATAATTTCATTTACAGTTTGCAAAAATTGCCATAGGCTGTGTTCTCAGAGTACAAACTGTTTGTCATTTTATAATTGTATCAATTAAAGAACACATAAAAACATACTTTTATTTACTTATATTTTATTTAATTGTATATAATTCTACATAATCTAAACGCAATTTTATTTTAGATATTTATATTTAATTACATCACTTAGATATGGAAGAAAATTAAAGACAATAATAAAAATCACAAATCCTAAACATTGAACATTCAACTTTAAAATGAAAATGAATTAAAAAAAATTTAAGTTAAAAATACCAGCATTATAAAAGAGAAAAGACTGGATACTGCTGAAAATTTACTCAGGTAAATTTATTTGCCACAGAAGTATATGTCAAGTGATTAGTATTGGTCTATATAAATAATTTCCATAAATCAAATCAATGGAAAACTTCACAAAAGACATAAACTGGGAAATTATAGCACAGAAAACCTAAATATTTAATACAAATATGACAAGATATACAACTCAGTAGTAATCAGATAATTGTTTATTAGTAGTGCATTGAAGTACAATTTTATAATCATCAGTCTAAAATGCTAAATTTAGTTGCAAATGTGGAGCCACCAAACACACGTATTTCTGGTGGGTAGGTAACTTAGCACAGTCATGTTGAAGACAAATTTGGAAATATTAGTAAAATTAAATATATGCCTCCCTGTGGTTCAGAATTTCCAACATAGGTACATATTCTATTCTTGACCACATTAACAACAACATCCACATGTGCACACACACACACATATGCATGCATGTATACGTATGAATATGTGGATATATAAAAACACAATACCCACACAAGAATGTTCATAGAATCATTGTTTGTCATGGAAAAAAGATAAACTATTAAGGACATTAGTAACACATTAGTAAACTCATGTTGTAATAGCTACATGAATAAATCTCTCAAGTGGAACACCCTGAGTATAAAAAGTAAGTGGCAGAGGTTAGATGGTGGCTACATGAGTGGCGGATACATTATTTTAAATATATTTTTATGTATCTTAACTATTGTGTAATAACAGAAATTGCTCATAGAAGAAAAAAGCACATTCCAATACATCAGTAGGGGACTCCTTTGCCCTGATGTTGGCAGAGTCAGGCAGATCTGTAGCTCCATAGATGAGATGGTCAGTTTTAGATGTGGGGACTGTAGTAAACTAAAACTTTTGTATGTTTGGGCTTCTCTGATTCTTTTAAATATCTTGAGAAATAAGCAGAGTGAAATAACTCCGTAGTGATGGCAAAAGAAACAATTTTCTTCAATTCTACGTTTAGTGAGAGTTAAGGACCAATAAATTAGCATAAGTTAGACATACAAATGGCCAACAGATACATGAAAAAAAAAAATGCTTAACATCACTAATCACCAGGGAAATGAAAATCAAAACCACAATGAGGTATTACCTCATACCTGTTAGGTTGGATATTATCAAAAACAAAAGAGATTACAAGTGTTGGTGAGGATGTGGGGCAAAGGGTGCCCCTGTACACTGTTGGTGGGAATAAAAATTAGTACAGCCGTTATGGAAAACCTTGAGAAGTTTCTCAAGAAATTCAAAATAGAACCACTATATCATCCAGCAATCCCACTACTGGGTATATATCCAAAGTGAATGAAGTCAGTACATCAAACAGAAAGGTGCATGCCTGTGTTTACTGCAGTATTATTCACAATAGCCAAGATATGGGAGCAACCTAAGTGCTCATCAATGGATCAGTGGATCAATGCATAAAGAAAATGTGATATATTTACACAATGGAATACTCTCAGACTTAAAAAGAAGAAAATCCTGTCATTTGGGACAATATGAATGAACCTGGAGGACACTATGCTAAGTGAAATAAGCCAGACACATAAAGACAAATACTGCATAATCTCACTTATCTGTGGAATCTAAAAAAGTTGAACTCATACAAGTAGAGAGTAGTATGGTAGTCACTGGAAACTGGGGGGTGGGGAGAGGGATGGAAAAACAGGAGGTGTTGGTCAAAGGGTATACAGTTGGGTAGACAGGAGGAATAAGTTTTTGAAATCTATTGCACAGCGTGATGACCATAGTTAATAACAATGTGTTGTAAATTTCAAAATTGCTAAAAGAGTAGATTTTAAATGTTCCTAACACAAAAAATGTTAAGTAGGTGAGGTGATGGATATGTTAATTAGCTTCATTTAATTATTCCACAATATAGAAACAGATCAAATCATCACATTGTATCTCTCTCTCTCTCTCTCTCTCTCTCTCTCTCTCTCTCTCTCTCTCTCTATATATATAT